TAGATTCAGTTTTTGTGGAAAATCGGCGGTTTTTTCGTGGCTTGTGACGTGTTTAACGTTAAAGTGTAGTGATGCAGTTCAGTTCACCATTCAGAGCTCCTTTAGAAGTTCCTTAGAGTCTTTAAAGAATATATCTAGTGGTGGTTAATGGAAAATATGAAGAAGATATCCATTTAAGCTGCTTTGATTGAAGATTGATCTCTCGGTAAGTGAAAGTTGCGTTTTTTGGTTATCTGGAAAAACATCAAGCTCTCGCGTGCGCAGCTAAATATATGCTCGCCTCACAGAAAATCCCCATGGCAACAACTTTTCTAGAAGTTTCTTCTGCAACCATGCTGGTTTATACCAGCTTTCAAGAAGTAAAATTCCCTCAAAAAACGGTAGCAAACTGAACCGTCCGAAAGCCCAACTTTTAGCGCTCGGGACTTTGATAATTTACTTGAAAGAAGCAAGAACATTTTCTGCAGAGTTTTTGAAAAATTGGCAAAATGTTCCCTTTAAGGGCTCATAAACCGCTTTGAACGCCACCAAAGAACATTTCGTGCTACTCAGTAACTGGTTTTTGGAMCAAAAAAATATGAAAATKCTCKCAMRTTTCCCTTTTAAGGGCCCAWAAATTTCCGGTGGACAGCAAAAGAATGGACTTTGCTCTAATAAATTCCATCAGTATGATTTTTAACAATCACCGCTTTWGGMGCTTATGTACTACTTATTTAAAAAAAAAATTTAATCGTGTTTTCACGATTTGTCTTTTTTCGCAACAAAAACTACTCTCAAGCCAATCAAAGAAGATTTTTTGCTTTTCAAACCCTSCACAAGTGCAACTTCGRGCGTTACTGGACTTTGAAAATTCGCATGAAAAAAACTGATAGCTAAMATTTGTTAAAAATCGCGTTTTAGCGGCACAAAAACCATCCGGTGAACGGAAAGTGAATGTTTTTTGCTCTTTTGGAWGGCATTAGAAAAAATTCTCCGTATTTATGCAACCGGTGCATAAATACTGAYGGCGCCCGAGGAATCGCATCGGARCAGTGTMAGCGTTCAAGCAAACCACTTCTGAAGATGCAAGCCACTYGTGCTTGCGAAACGTCAGGAAGAAACTCTACCGRACGACGGCYTAAAAACCCGAMAAACTCATTAGTTTCAAGGAATGGCCTCAAAAGTCTATCTCTTTTRATAATAATCAYTTYGTTCATTCCAGGAAAATAGACTTTTTTACCTAGTTGGTCGTTGACTGGACACGTTTCTCCATGTATGCGCTTATAAAACCTTAAATATCTCATGGAGGGTCCATTTCCAGTGTTAAACGAAAATGTACATAAAAATCAACTCTCTGATAACATCGGTCATCCACAATCAATTAAAAACGAAATTAAGCAATCAAACAACCATCCAATAGGTGGAAATAGGAAAACGCACATTAAATACAATTCGAGGGCGAACAATCCTCAAAGCAGACTTGGCAGGAAATCTCGCTTTATGACGTTGCCGCTATCGAAGTTATTAATTTAATCCCTTAATTAGTGCGAACAGGTGTTGTGTTTCGTAAATTCCAGATTAAAGCTTCGCTAAATCAAATTAGAGAGTATTTGCAGCCAGTTGGAAAGCCGAAGGCGGCTGTAGCTTGAAAATGTAGCGATCGAACAGTGAACCTCAATGGTTCGCTTCCAATATCCATTTAGTGGCGCCTGAAGCCCATGCTTGACTTATTGAAAAATGTATGCAAATATATTCCAATTTAATGAAGCTGGAAACGGGAAAACTTTGGACGAGAAAAATCTCTAACCATTAGGCGAGCAGCCTGGGAAAGTTCGCTTTGAAGACGCTCTTTGTTTGAAGACTTTCGGAGCCATCTCGAGGACGTACTTTCTTTTTAGGGAAACTTTTGAAAAATTACAGGTTTCCGAGCTGTTTATTTATTATGTTTTTCTGCGGGCTGAGTAAAGGGAAATTTATATACTGTTCGTTCGGGAACCGTACAATTGCTCTTCCAATTGCAATTCCAACCAAATTTTCATGTATTTTTTTTTAATTTTTCAGAGGAATGTACAGCGGACCGATGCAGTCGAGTGCCGTGCCAGCACGGGGGGAAATGCCTGACAAGTGAAACTTCGGCTGTTTGCTTGTGCCCCTTGGGGTTTTCAGGAGACTTGTGTGAAATTCGCGTGGATTTGCAGGTGAGTGAACTAAAGACATTATTTCCTGCTGTTCTGACCGTTCGGTCGTCGAACTCGAGGCAACTTCCAATAATAAAATGAAGACGTGAAGTTACCGCATTGTCACGACAAAGGGAGTCACCATAAGGTAAACAGGAAGTCTCCAGAGAAAGCTGCTGCTGCCATACTAATAGACTGATTGGGCTTTGAGGGCTCCAATTAAATTACGTGGAAAATCCAATCTTCCAACTTTGTATTAAAATGCATTGGAAATGTAACGAAAACTAATGGAGCCAATTAGTTTGATTAACTCGTCTATTATTTGTGAGATTTTAATGATGAGCGGATGAGCATATGCAAATGGCGCAGAAAGGTTTCGGCTGTTGAAAAGCCATGAGGGCTTCAAATCCTTCAAATGGGTCGCATGGCACGTTTTGTATTATTGCGCGAAACTCTTCAGTTTACTTTTCTCTATGGTTATCCACTGTTGGTGTGCGTTTGAGCCTAGCAAATATAAACTTTGATTTATTCTTGCTTGCTTCTAGGCAAGACTGCGAGATGGAGTTTATTTGCACTGCTTTGAAGCTACTAGAGGACTAGAAAAGTGCCCATTTTATTGTTAAAATTAACTGGCAATTGTTGTCGTTTTCTATTTGCTATCGGGTTTTCGTTTTTGGAATTTTCTAAGATTTTTCGATTTTTATATGCTGTGTAAGTGATGAGAGGTTGATGAAAGGTCTCACACTTTCGCTCCTAACTTTTTTAGGTCTGAACTGAAGTTCAAACGTTAAAAATCGCATGTATTTTTGCTTCCTGACTGTTTAGAGGTTAACAATTGCTCGCAATTTCTAGTTGGAAACGACAGTTTCTGAGACTCTTTATCGGAAAAGTTATTAGGTCCGAATCGATATTTTCTACCGCTTCTGAGATCAATCTGTTCAAACTTCGCCAATCGCTTTCGTTTCCATATTTTTGCTTCTAACTGTTTAGAGGTTAGGAACCTCTGATCAACCCTAATTATGAACAACAGTTTCTGAGACTCGCTTTCGACCAATTTATTAGGGCTGAAGTGATATGTTCTACCGCTTCTCAGATAAATTTGTTCGAACGTCTAAAATCGTACTCGTTTTAATATTTTTGCTTTTAGTCTTTTAGAGGTTAGTATTTGCTGGTAATTCCTAATTGTAAACCCCCAGTTTCTGAGACTTTCTATCGAAAAAGTCAACCAATATTTTCTACCGTTTCCGAGATTAATTCGTTCAAACGTCGGAAATCGCATTTGTTTTCATATTTTTGCTCCTAACCTTTTAGAGGTTAGCAATTGCTGCTAATCCTTAATAGCACCACAGATTTTGAGACGCTTTAGCGAAAAAGTCCTTACCTCTGAACCAATATTTTGTATCGTTTTTGAGATAACTGCGTTCAAACATCACCCGATTTGTTCTAGCATTTCTTGAAACATGAACAGTTGCATAAATTTTCATAATTTTGTCTCTGACTTTACAATTTCGGTTAACTCCTAATTGTGGCAGAAAGTTTCTTAAAAAACTTGTCTTGAAAAGCTCATAACGTATACACCGATATTTTTTTTAACCGTTTCCGAGAGAAATTCTTGTCCGCATCGACGACCACATAATTTTTCATACTTTCACTTCTCCGATTTTAACGGTAAAAAATATCTCCTCCAACTTAAATGGAAAAAAGTAGCTCTTGAAGCGGTCTATTGAAAATGTAACTACAACTGTTACGCTAATTTCATTTGGAGATGCAGAGTCTTAAAAACTGTTGGGGTGTTTAAAGGGAAAGTGGTAGTGAAATCCGCAAAAAGTCCAATGTTTAAATGTGCCTTTGTGCGTTAAAACCTATAAACATTTCGCAATTTATGTTGTATCAGGGTTTTTCAAGCTCAAAATGATTCCGGCATGTTTTAACCGAGAGGTTTTGAAGAACTGTCCCAAAATTTTTCACTTTTTGTGTAAAAGCTTCCTAACTGATGTTTTACACCATGCTGTGCGAGCTAATTCCTAAAGTTGCCTCATAAATCATGGCCTAATTTTGCAATTTTTAGCATATTTTTACAAAAAGACGGAAAGCGGCATGGCGATAATCAGCAGAGCAAATGAAATTAAAACGCCTAAAGAACCCATAATAAAACGGAACTTATATTAGAGCATCGAAGGTAAAAATGCCCCTAAAACGTTTCTACACACATAAAAAAAAGGCCGGAAAAAATCCCAATAAAGACATCGGCTCCACCTACGCTACCTATGCGATAATGCTAACATTTAATACACCCCTAGGGATTAATAACGAAGTTATTAACGCCACTTTGGGATGAATAATTCAGTCCCCATTCAGCTCTTGGGTATGGCGAGTTGCTGGCATCAGATGCCAGTAAATATATGCTGCTCAACTTTGAAACATCAGAAAGTCTTCGTTAAACATTCACGGCTAATATGATGGAAATTAGATGGAAGTTCCGGGAACAATCGAGGGAGCTAAACGAAGATAAGGCGTTACGTGTTGGAGCTCTTTCGCTTTATACTAGAGAGGGAGTCGCAAATGCAAAGGGCTCGATTGAGTGCTGATATCTGCAAAGCCAAAAACAGTTTGCACACTATTACATTCTCATTCATCTCTTCCAGTAGGAGAGTTGAAGACTGAAAGATTTTGCAGCTGATGTGGGGTTAATCTCCCAGCTTCGATGCAAGGGCGGATTCACTTTCTGAAAAGGTCATTTATTTCTGTCTAGAATGATGTACAAATGAGCGTTCTTGCTCATTTTGCCTCCGAGATATGAGCAAAAACGGGACG